GTTCAGCAGAAGTGCGCACGCGGCCTGTGTTTCAGGTGTGATGAAAAATTTAACCCTGGGCACCGCTGCAAGCTCCGACAATTACAGGTGCTACTCGCCGCGGAAGAAGAGCCGGGACGAGAGGAGGGTTGCCGAGAGGAGGGGGAGACGACGACAGAGGAGGAGGACGAGGCCACAGAGGAAACGGCAGCCCTGTCCTTAAACTCGATCCGGGGATTCACGACGGCAAAAACTATGAAACTACAGGGGGCAATCGGCGAGCAGGAGGTCATCGTGTTGGTAGACAGCGGGGCATCTCAAAGTTTCATTTCGGCCCATCTAGTCCAGGAACTTGCTATTCCCACAGATTTAACAGTCCAGCACAAAATCCAGGTAGGGAATAGGATGAGTTTCCAGCAGAATGGGGTCTGCCGAGGGGTTCGAGTACTCGTCCAAGGCCTGTGGGTCAACGAGGATTTTTTCCCGTTTGAGTTAGGTAGCGGACTTGGTATTGGGGGTGACATGGCTCAAAACGCTGGGAGAAGTACGGGCAGACTGGGCAAAGTTCACGATGAAGTTTCAGAGAGATGGGAAATGGGTCAGTTGAACTGGGGACCCGTCCTTGAGCTGCTCCCCAGTGAGTTTCCGTTCCTTGACTCGCTCGTGGAGTCCTGGAGAACTGGGAGTACTGCTGGAACTCTGTTCAGTAGAGGCTGGAACGCCAGAACTGGCAACACCGGCGTTGACCGCGGAATGCGAAAACCTCATCCACAAATTCAATGGGGTTTTTGATACACCCAAGGGACTGCCCCCGCAACGAACCAGGGAGCACAAGATCATCTTGCAAGGAGGTGCCTCACCCCCGAACATCCGGCCATAGAGGTACCCTCACATACAGAAAACTGAAATAGAAAGGCAAGTCTCGGATATGTTGATGTCATGCATTATCATGCCGAGCTGTAGCCCGTATTCCAATCCCGTTCTGCTTGTTAAAAAGAAGGACGGCAGCTGGCGATTCTGCGTTGACTACCGAGCATTGACTCAGTTGACGGTACCCGACAAATTTCCAATTCCCGTCATCGACGAACTACTGGACGAGCTACATGGAGCCACCGTGTTCTCCAAGCTAGACCTGACCGCGGGCTACCACCAAATCAGAGTTCGGGAGAGTGATGTCGAGAAAACTGCATTCCGAACTCACGAGGGACACTACGAATTCCTTGTCATGCCTTTCGGCTTGACCAACGCCCCTGCCACATTCCAATCATTGATGAATGCGGTATTTCGCCCTTACCTCCGTAAATTTGTTTTGGTTGTTTTTTATGACATTCTTGTGTACAGCCCTACGCGAGAGGCCCATTACGAACATTTGCGACAAGTGTTGGCAATCTTGCAACAGGAGAAACTTGTAGCCAATTACAGGAAATGCAGTTTTGGTAGGGAACGGATTGAATATCTGGGCCACGTGATTTTTGCAGGGTGGGTGTCCGCTGATTCCACCAAAGTCGAGGCCATGCTCTTATGGCCGACCCCACGGAACATCCGTGAACTCCGTGGGTTCCTAGGCCTCACTGGATACTACAGGAGATTCGTGCAGGGGCACGGGTCTATAGCTAGGCCACTTACCGAACTACTTAAAAGGGGACGTTTCAATGGTCCGACCCTGCCGAAGTGGCCTTCCGCCAACTGAAGAAAGCAATGACAGAATTACCGGTGCTTGCAATGCCGGATTTCACCAAGCCGTTCGTCCTCGAGACGGACGCGTCCGAAAAAGGAGTTGGGGCCGTACTCATGCAAGACGGGAGGCCAATTGCTTATTTCAGCAAGGCCCTATCGGCTAGCTCGAGGTTGGCCTCGGTGTATGAGCGTGAGCTCCTCGCCATAGTGCTCGCAGTGCAGAAATGGCGCCACTATCTCCTGGACAGGCATTTCGTGGTGCGGTCAGACCAGCAGAGTCTGCGCCATCTACTGGAGCAGCGCGTCCTTCCACCAGGGCACCTCCGGCTGATAGTCAAACTATTAGGGTACGACTTTGAGGTGCAATATAAGCAGGGCGCCTCCAACAAGGTGGCCGATGCGTTATCGCGGCGAGGGCCCGAAAACTCTGCCACCTTCTCGGTTTTTTCTGTCCAAAGCCAGTTTGACTCCGCGGCTCTCATCAAGGAACAGCACGCCGATTCCGAGTGCAGGGAGAGTTTCATGAGGTTCTGCCAAGATCAACCACTCAAGGATGGGTACGACATCCGCCAGGGCCTCTTGTTTTTCCGAGGCCGGGTTGTGATCCCGCCCACTTCTCCTTGGGTCTCACGTATCCTACACGATTTCCACAACTCCGTTATGGGCGGCCACTTAGGCTTTTTACGCACTTACAAGCGGATTTCAGCCGTATTCTTTTGGAAGGGGATGAAGAAGAGTATCAAGGACTATGTTGCCCAATGCTCCACCTGCCAGCACGCCAAGACAGAAGCGGTCTCACCCGCTGGATTATTACAGCCGCTGCCCATTCCGCACCAAATTTGGGAAGACATATCAATGGATTTCATCGGCGAACTTCCCAAATCCAAAGGTATGGACACCATTTTTGTGGTAGTCGATAGACTTTCCAAGTACGCCCATTTTTGTCCACTGTCACATCCTTATTCAGCCACACAAGTCGCTGCCCTGTTCATCCGGGACATTGTGCGACTCCATGGTTTCCCACGCTCCATTGTAAGCGATAGAGACTCCGTTTTCATGAGCCTCTTCTGGCGGGAACTGTTTAAATTACAGGGTACTAAGTTGCATCCCAGCACCGCTTACCACCCTCTGACCGATGGACAGACTGAGGTCACTAATCGGTGCTTGGAAACATATCTCCGATGTTTTGCTTGTGACAAGCCGCGACAGTGGCTCTCTTTCTTACCATGGGCAGAATACTGGTTTAATACAACGTATAATGCATCTATTAAACGCTCCCCCTTCCAAGTAGTGTATGGGCGTGACCCTCCTGCACTCTACCGTTTCATAGATGGAACAGCAGCAGTCAACACGGTTGAAGAGCAGTTGCAGCACCGCAACCAAATGCTGGACACCCTTAAACATCACCTCCTACTAGCCCAGCAACGCATGAAGAAATTCGCCGACAAACACCGTCGAGAGGTCCAATTCTCCCCTGGAGACTTAGTGTTGCTCAAACTACGGCCCTACTTCATGAAATCCTTGGCCCGGAAGATCAATGAGCCCCCGATTTTATGGGCCATTTCCAGTCCTTACGCGCGTGGGACAGGTCGCTTGCCACCTTGATTTGCCGGCTACCGCCAAGATACACCCTATATTCCATGTGTCCCAATTGAAGGCTTTCAACAGTAACTCGGAGCAGGGGCAACCCCTGCCGGAACAGTTTACTGGAGACTTGGAACTCATCGTGCAACCGGCTGCAGTCTTGGATGCGCGCACCATCAGCGCTGGGGGGTGTCAGGTGCCCGAGGTTTTGATACATTGGGCAGGGTTTACCAGCATGGGATGCTACCTGGGAGCCACTGTCCACCATTGCAGAGCAATTCCCTGATTTCAACCTTGGGGACAAGGTTGCTCTTCAGGAGGGGGGTAATGTTAGGCATCCACCCCTTAGGTTTGGTTATGCCAGGAAAAGAAAGAAGGATGGCCAGGCCCAGGGAAGGAAGGAGCAAGGGTAGTTCCGGGATTGGACTTGAATTAGCTGGAGGGAAGTTTGTTACAAGAAGGTTTTGGACGGGTGAGGATCCCGAGAGTTTGTTAGGGGAAGAGAGTCGAATAAATAAGGGAGGGCTGGAGAGGGAGAGGGCATTGAGAATTTGTGTGAGAACTTAGTCTGTGGAGGTTAGGAGGAGTCCTCGAACTCACCTCCATCTTAATTTCTCAGTTGTAATTTGTTTCCTGCAATTTGGTTTTTACCTTGATTAATACAAGAAACCAGACCACTTTTCTAGTTGAGTTCTTCACTATTTCATCATAATTTCTACTAAATTGTTGGGTTCCTAACAAGGCTGTGCCTAGGAAAGCTCCTAAGATCTATTCTATTGTTTGGAGGGCTCCTCCGCCAGCTTGGATTAAAGTTAACACGGATGGAACTGCTAAGAGGAATGGTTTAACTGGGGGAGGTGCGATCTTACAGAACTGTAGAGGTTTCTTCTTAGGAACTTTCAGTGTTTTCTTTGGACAGTGCCTTGCTATAGAAGTTGAGATGTGGATTATTATTATAGCCATTAGGTTGGCTTAGAGTAAAGGGTGGAGGCGTATTTGGTTAGAAAGTAATTCTGCTTGTGCAGTTCATCTTTTTCGGAGTGCCAGTCCACAATTCTGTGGTCTCTTCAAAATGCTTGGATGGATGCTATTGATAAGGCTAGCTCTATGGATTTTGTTATTTCTCATTCTTTTAGAGAGGCTAATACTATTGCTGATTGTTTGGCTAGTTTTGGTGTAGTTTCTGGTTGTTACACTTGGTGGCATAACGTTCCAAGTTTTGTTCTTAGAGAGTTTAGTTTGAATGCTTCTGATTTTATAATTTATAGATTTATAATATATAGGTTCAAGGCTTGATGTTTTGTTTTTCTTTTCCTTGTTTTTTTTTTTAGCCTCTCTATTTCTTATGTATTTGAAAACTTTTAATAAATTTTTACTCGTTGAGGTTTTCTTTAAAAAAAAAACTCTCTTAACTTTTTTTCTTGGCAATTCACTCCTTAAACTTTGAAATTTGTTGCAATGTTGCTCAAATTGAAAACAAAGTTAAAAATTTAGATTGTATCTTTCACATGAATGTTTAATAAGGGTACTTGATGTCTTTTTGCATCAAATTGACCCTCATATACGCATCACGAGCGAAATTTTTTTTGAAATTGAGAGTTAACCGTTTTGAAGGACAAATTCAGAGTCTTCCAATTTCAAAAAAAAATTCATTCATGAAGTGTATAAAGGGTTCAATTCAATATAAAAAGACTAGAATTATCATTATTAAACACTCATATAGAAAATACCGTCTAAATTTTTAACTTCATTTTCAATTTGACTAACAATGCAAGAAATTTTAAAGTTTACGGGGTGAATTGTCAAGAAAAAAAAGTTAAGAGACTAATTTATTAAACTCGTAAAGTTGAGGGGGTGTCCATGTAAATAAACCTAAAGTAAAAATAAAAAAAAAAGTTATTTATATTTTAAACTTAAAAAATATTAAAATAATCTTTGTTTAATTAAAATAGAAAGTATAGTTGGAGTGATTTACTAAAAAGTTGCTACTAAAATAGTTTTCTAGTCATTTTAGCTAGAATTTAGCTAAAATTTAAAGAGTTAATATGATCTTAGATCTCAACTTTGGCTTCCTAAAGTTAAAAACAACTTTCGGAGGTGTGATTTCAGAAAACCCAGAAGAAAGTTTTAGCTGCTAGAGGCTCTTCCAGGAGAAGCTAAATTGACATGGCTTCTCTTCAAGGAGCTTCCACAAAACATGAGAACAAAAAAAAATCTCATTTAAGGCTTAATAGCTCGTGAAATATATTAGGCGGGCTTTAACTTTTTTTCTTCTACCATGTACAAAACAAAACATCTTCCAAACAAGCCAATAACGCACAACTTTTTCTTTAAGGCACAAAGTCAGTCATGGAAAGCAATCCACTACCTATTACTGAGCAAAGATATCAAGGAAAACTCAACTAAAGAAACATTCACATTGAACAAGAAGCAAAGTGAAAAAGTAATTTATCTGGATAACAAAATTTGAGATGATAAAGAATGTGTTAAAGATCAGTACTCACCGGTAAATATCGGTATAGCTAACAGTATCAGACAAGTGATCGGATAAACCAGCTGCGTGGAGATCCATCCAAGCATCAACATCTATCACAAACTTCTGACCCAGCTTCTTTTCTTCAGATTTAACACCATGAAAACCATGGAACATCAAACCTCTCAATATGAGCTTGTCTCCCCTCAATATTGCATCACCTTCCATAATATCTCCTGATTATAGAAAAAAACATGATAATATATGTATGTATGTGTGTATGTTTTTATATAAAGAAGGGGTAAATATTGAATTCCTCAAAATAAAATGAAATACTTGCATCCCGAATTTTAGAGTCATTTCTATTTTACTCTCTCAAATTTAAAGATTCTCACTTTATTCTCCGAATTTTAAAGCAGTCTCACTCAATCCTCTCAGTTAGAATTTCCATTAAAAACAAACGGAAAAACAAGAGGCTAAGTTGCAGTCATATAATCTTTTTTTCATTGTTTTAACGAAAATTCTAACAAAAAGGATTAAGTGGGAGACAGACGGGGAGTTCTTAAAGTTTTCAGACAAAAACTCAATTGGTTAAACTGTTCTTAAACCTCAAGGTTTCAGAAAACACATTTCCTATTTCACAGAAAATCATCACAAAACTCATTTGAAATGGCATATCTGAACCCAACAAAATTCATAGACCCAGTTCACAGTTGTTATTCAAATGACGAAAAACTTGTTTAGAAAGAATAATCAGTAAAATATCCCTACATATATGCTACCACTAAGTCTTAATTAAATCTAATAGAGAAAGATGATGCTTGAATTTATAAGTTAATTTTCCAAGTAAAAACAGTAATCCCAAAGCAGCTTCGGACATCCAAGAGTGTGCAAAACGACACAGTTTAAGGGCGAAGGAAAAGCTGGAATTGTGAGAGAGAGAGAGAGAGAGAGAGAGAGAGAGAGAGAGAGAGAACTCACCAGAACTCAACAGTCCTTTTTCGGCTGCTTGTCGTTGTTCTCTGTTGTACGAGGGGAATAAATGATATCTTAAATTCTTGTTTGTCTAAAGTCTAAAGTGACATAAAAACCCTTATAGAGAAAATTAGAAAAAAATAATAATTTTAAATAAATAGATAAATAAGGATTATAACCATTTGTAAAAAGATGTAATTGATAGATTAGATTTTACTGTGAAGTAAGAAGATGTACATGATTTCTAAACATTCACTTGCTTTAAGAAAACGAGTAGATGCGGGAGAGAAAATGGAATACTTGCATCAATATTGATATTTGCAGTCCAGATGGTCTTTGGAATTTTATGATATTTGTTTCATCTGGACAACAAGAACGTTGTAATGGATCGGCACATCCCCATGATACGCCCATGTCCTGCAGTGATAATCAAGCCACACACACTCGTTTCATCTGGCACTAGACTATGATTATGCCAAACTAATGAAAATCACTAATCTTTTGAAACATCTGATGCCACTTTTCATGATGAATAAATGGCAAATCATGCCAGTCGCCAAATACCAAAACCAAACTCGTCCTCAGAGTCAAAGCATAATTTAAAGGGAGAAAAACTGGCTTCTTTTACGGTGCAACTCCAATTGTGACCCACCTCCAATTGTGACTCACCGGTAGAACTAGTGTTTTTACTATTAAATTAAGTTTTCAATAATAGATATGCAACCTAAACAGTTCTGTGTGACGCTGTAAAATTTAATACGAACATACCCAAATCTGATGTTAGTTTAACTAACGGTTAAAAATACTTGCTGCACCGGTAGGTCACAATTGGGGGTTACACCGTAATTCCAAGAAAAACTACACGACAATATATGGAGAAAAACTTCAAAGAATGACAGTATGTTTTCCCCCTAGAACATTATGGAGAAAAGCTTCAAAGAATGAAAATATATGATTAAAATTTCAGATTCAGAATGAACCATTTAAGAGTTATATCCTTGTCATCATTGACAAAACAAAGATGTTTGGTGTGGTCCAAAAAGACAACACTGTATGTACAACTCGGGTCAGTAGCAAAAAAAAAAGAGTCAGGGGTCAACAAACCCAAATGAAAAAATGAAATGGTAATTCAAATCCCTTTCTCTGTTAAAAGACTAAGCACCCTTTTAAATCTCTCTCTCTCTCTCTCTCTCTCTCTCAAGACTATGCACATGTAACACAGAAGGTGGTGGGAAAAATTGTCCTTCACTGGCGCCCTTTTAGAGCTGCACAGAACTGATATTTCTATCTTTTCTTGTAATCTCCCCAATTCCAAGCTGCGGGTGAAAATTATGCTGCTCCTCGAGATAAAAAAAAGCCTCATGGAAGACTTCAGAAAAGAAGATCAAGGAAAAGAATTCAGAGTAATATTGGCATGCTACCTCCAAATGGTTGCTATAGCTATATAACTATGTTAGTTTAAGCATCTGGCACTCTTCTGTAGAAAAGAACATAAGCAGCAGAAGTCTTGATACTCTCCTCAGTTACATAATGGACCTTGTCGTCATCGAACTCATACCACTTGCCGTTGTGCTGCAGACAACGATGATCATTAGAAGCACCAAAGACAAAAAGGTCTTAAGGGATACTAATAAAAAAATCTATGAGCTATAGTATGAGAATATAGCATGCAATCGATAATCTCAACTGTATTAAAACAAATAGATTTTCCTTTTTGTTTTCTAATCGTGAATTTAGTCAAAACAAATTCCCCCACTATATGCGATGATGTGGAAAAAATATTAAAGAGCTCACCCCCAGTCTACAATTAGCATGACAAGAAAGGGCATATGACTGATTTACGTGTAATCTTGTCTCCAGGAAAATATAACAGAGAAAATACAGCTAGAATACTGTCTTCAATTACATATATATGTATATTTTTTTTATATCCAGAAATCCAAGTGAAATGGTTATAATTGTAGCAGAAAGAACACTTACACGAACAAATGCAGTATAATGACCACCAAACGTAGACCCGTAGTGATTAATAATTGCATATAGATTATATCGGTTTGGTCGTATATTTTTTTGGATAAAGTAGCTTGAGAAATCCATGTCATCAATTGGAAAATCCACGTAGCTTTCCAGCTTTGACGTTGAAAACTCTGTGTATGAGAACCTCTTCAAATGAATGACTATAATTTCAGGCAATTTCCACAAATCTATCTTTTTGTTAGCTTGCTGATGCTTCTTGCAATCAGGGCAGTACCTGTAATTACATAAACCAAAAAAAAAAAAAAGGAACATGACCAAACCGGACATAAAAAGATTGGAACCGAAGACAATGTTGATACTGCACAAAAACTTTCTTGATAAGGGTTTTGATCATAATACAAACATGCATATACGTATGCGTGTTTATGGATGAGTACGCATGTATTTATGTAACATGTATTAACAGAGGTCAATCTAAGATTCTCCATAAAAAATGTTCTTCAACTTCAAACTTGTGGAGCCACCTTTTATTTTGGTGGATTGGAAGCCATTTAAACACCAGAGTACAAGCAACCAAAACTAACGGGGGACATCGATAAGCTCTCCGTTTGATTAAATAACAGAGGGCTTTTATCACAACCAGATCCTCCAAAAGGAGTAGTTTGACATCAAAGTTGCAGAGAACAATCTGAAGCTGAGCAACTCGATAATCTAATAATTATCCCTCTCCCGCAATTATGAAAACAAGGGGCGAAATATGACAGAAATATGATGCAATGTGCATAAATAAAATTCATAATCCTAGTGTTAGGAAAACTTAAAACGGAATTACAAACTAACCACATGTCTTCCAGTCCTAGAGGTTCCTCCTTCAAGTATTCTTCAAGGCATTTGTACAGGGAAACAGAATCTTGAGGACTCCAAAAGAATGACTGGGTCTTAAAAACCATAGGTAATGAGCTGAGTTGAGAGATATCGTACTTCTTAATCATCTTATCCGACCACAAAACACGGACCTTCAACATCTCGGAAAACTGTGGGATTAACACTGGCTCATTCATTTCAATCAGCTTATCCACTAATTCTCCCTGGAAATAAAATCGGAAGTCTATATCCAAATCTTCATCATCCCCTGATTCACTGTCTGACTCCGGCCAACCACTCCAATTTGTATGACTGGTTGCGTCATCTATTTCACCATCTTCATTAGCATTATCAACAAAATCATTTGATACATGTGCAATGGAAATCGAAAATGGATTCAGTAATCTCATATAGTGTTTATGAAGATCAAATCCACAATGAAGATCAGACAACCTTGCTAGAAACGGTATGCCAAATGTCGTAGGATCAGATCTTGTCGCTCCAAAATTAAACTGCCTAAATCCACCGTCACATGCATATTAGAATATCAGTAACATACACATGAAAGGAATAACACCAAAACAAAATATAAGAGTAATGCAGATGCTGAATGATGACTAAAAATTATTTTCAAGAAATTGTGATGAAGCTGACAAAATCTAAAATCATGCCACGGTTTTTGTTTTGATTACAAATCTCAAACCTATGCGCTTTATTTCATCTTTTTTTTTTTTTGCTTCTCAAGCATGAAACATCAATTAAATTCACTCAGGAACAAATTTAGAATGTTATCAAGCTTTATAGCTTTCATATCTACGAGCATCAGGCATCAAAGTCTAAAGTGTACCATCTCTCAAGAAAAATTGTGTTTCCAGTTTCCTTAAGATAAGAGTCTCATTTCTACTACAAGTAAAAGCATAATGCAAATTACAAGGGAAAAAAGGAAGGGCAATATATTAGGCTTACTTTTCTATGCGTTGGTGTATGAATTCAACCAAAGGGAACACACCACTTCCCTTTGGTAACCGATAAGCCACCAGGCAGTCCTCATTTCTGATCAAGGATAATGAATCATTCAGATCCTCCAAAATACGAAAAATTCGAGTCTTGTATATCTACAAAAATGCAAGGAGGATTGGGTCATGACCTTCAACATAAAGGTCAGCATTGATAATCTCTTATTTATTAGTTCCACGGGAGTAAAAGGAGTAACAGACGCAGTGATGGTTATATGTCATATGTGTGAGACACCGACGGCACAAAGGCAGCCAAAAGAGTCATGGTATCTGCATCTTCTTTTCCAGATAGGAATGCTTCCCTCTTATAGGGTCCCAGAAGCAGCCATGATATGTAATGGATATATTCAAAATATATTTTTATATATAATGGAAAATAAAAAATGAAGCAGCTATAATGACATACCTCAGCCACCAAAAGGGTTTCATCATCGTTCAGAAAACAAGCAACACCCAGAGCATCAATGAGATCCTTTAATCTCCCATTCTTAGGCACTGTTATTGTAAAAGTAGATGGTGGTGACGTCCCATCTGTGCTCAAGACCGTCAATGTCATGGTTCGCATTGTTGTTGAAGGTAACGGCAAGGAAAGGTACACAAATGGGTCAAATGCAACAGAGACCCTCTTGCAAATAGAGCAAACTACTGCTGATCGGTATTGGCCCTGCAATTAAAAAAGGTACAAAAGAAAATTACAAAATTCAGTTCAACGCGTAAAAGGGCACGTCAGCCCCTCGTAAGTTAACATTGGTAAAGCTATTTTCCAATTAGAAAACAGAAGTTCAACAATCATTTAAAAGGATTTCTGAGGACAGCACAGAACCCATGCAAAAGTAAGAATGCATAAATACAGAGCTTCTACTCTATCAAGGAAAATTATAAATCATTTGCTCTCACATGGAACAAATCAACAATGATGGAGTCATTTTGAGCAAGATGATTCTTCCAATAGTCTCTTGCTACTTCTTCATCAGGGCAGCCTGCTGTATCTTCAGCTTTAGTAGCCAGCTTGCACTTCACACGATTTAGATCTTCATGGAGACCGTCCAACAGAAATGAAAGAAATTCCTAAATTACAAGAACCACACAACTCAAATTAACCCCAAACAGAAACCAAAAGGAAAGAAACTCCAACAATACACATAACTTTTGCGGCAACTACACAAACCTGGGAATCATGTTGATTATAGCCACTAAACTGAGGTGCAAAATTAGCAATCTTTTGCTTGAACATTCTTGGAGCCACAGGGCTCATTCCTGGGGCCCATAACGTCCTTAATAGCTCTCCAAATGCTATAGCAAGATCTCCCTAAAATACAGGTGAACTATAAACATAAGAAAGTTTTAAGAATAAGAAACACTAAATACATCACCCACATTATAATACATACTTTCACCCCCAAAGGGTTATCACTATTTATCTCCTTGCAATAGTCTCCCAAAAAATAATAAACAAGCTCTGGAGTATGCACCAAGCATTGAATGGCACTGTTCATAAAACACGTATTCCCAAGATTCTGCAATCCAATCAAGCCCAAGGAACCAGCTCCTCTGTAGCTACAAATATGTTGCGAGGAATTTGGTCGAGTCAAAGAAAAGTTTAGTTCGTCAGTGCTCCCATTCATCCTAACAAGACCATCGCAACTACCTCTGTCATTGGAATCAGTTTCTGCCATTTCCTCACCCCTATTATCACGATCCTTATAGGTATCTGTAAATCCATGCACTTGCAATTGAAGGAAATACTGCATCAACAACATAAAACGCATAATATAAGCATATAAAAGACAAAAGGCAGAATTTGACATCCGAAGAGCTAAATTAACTTGAAAAAAGAACTTTTGAGTCCACAGTAGCGTGAAAATAACGTACCCATGAAGATGCTTTCGGAGCCGTAAAGATTTAGGTTTAAACCATCAGTATACATAACAACTTACTCAATTTTCTAGCTGGTACCTTTTTGGAATCATGACAATAAGTTCATAACTTATATTCTAGAATAAGTACAAGATTGTCCACTTTTTTGAACTGTTTCACATTCAAATTCATGATTACCCAAGTTCAAAATCTTTAAAAAGTTATAAAAAAATTTATTTAAAAAAAAAAAAAAGAACAGGTCTCAAACTGCTGACCTCTCTGCTCGGCTGTCTAGGAGAATCATTAGGGTAACTCAAACCTTCATTCATTACAATTTTGTTTAGCTTCCCTGAGAAGTCCCAAATGTGCAACTGTCAAAATCAATTTATAAATGAGTGAAGAATGTCATACCAAAAGAATTGCAAACGGCTGAATGACAGCTTACTCACCGGCTTAGAGTCAGAATTAAAAATACTACATGCTCTCTTATAAGAATCAATCGCATTGTCCTGAAAAATGCAAATTTAAATCAGCAAACAGAAGTTAAACTGATAATCACCATATGTTTTATGAATAATCAGAAAAAAATGCAAAAAATATCATTACTTTCCACCACTCTACCATGCAACTACTTAATTTCCACTTAAAGAGCTTTTCCTAACTTGATGTGCAGACTCAAAACCATAGAAATGATATCGTTCTTCCTTTTCACGGTTAGAGCAATATTGTTCACATCATATAGGTAGGAAGCATTGTAAGGTGAATAATCATTTGCTTGATGACAATACTAACCTGTTCGTGTATCTTCACAACCAATGAATTCGTTTCGGATGAAACAAAAAGCTTAATTTGTAAAGGAAACACATTCTGTGAAAAATCTTCAGTAGTAGAGGTCACAAATCCCATTCTACCTGCTTCTAAATCCCCATGCCTACAAAAAAGTGGTCCAATGCAATCAATACCCAATATTGTCAAAACCACCAACTCCTCAAAAAATCATCTGAAAAGTAACAGAACATAAATCTTATCCAAACATGGCGTGTTTACTAACCAATAATTCAATTTCGGGAAAAGAAATTGATAAATGACGTGGTTCCCACCTGCAAATGAGGAATTAAGACCCCGTTCATTTCACCGATTCGAGTTTAGAATTCGAGTTTTGCTACAGTAAAAAGCTCTCAAAAACAGTCACATTTAACCTTTTTTTACTACAGTAAAAGGCTCTCACATAAAGTCACATCTCAACTCGAATAAGCGAACTAAACGGGCCTTAAGTTCCTTGATGAGGGGCAACTTATATCACAACTCCTATCGACGCAATGTGATTCCTTCTACTAAAACATAAGAACTAACTAACCTATTTACCAAATGTGCCCTTAGTTTAATTTAATTATCTACTCAACAAAGGTACTTTTGCACCTAAGACCGTGTGGGGTGATGGGCCCCCTAGACCTCCACTACATTTCACTTACGCTAGGAGAAGGCCCAAAGTTAATCAGGGTGAGGTGGCAGTAGAAGGTGTTACGAAGAATGGTGAGGTGGAGGCTGACATGGAAGGAGCAAACAGCATGGTAGAAAGAGTTGCTGCTGGGAATGCGCAATAGTTCACTCTTCGAGAGAAGCCTCGGGATTAGGGGGAGGAGTTAGAAAACGGTTAGCAAGGAAGAAAGGAATAAAAGGAAGAGGAGGAAGGCTGAGAGGGCACGGAAGTTGTAATTGATTTTGCTTAACAAGCTTTGCTCTAAGGAGTGCAAGGGGTCACTCGAATACCCCCACATCTCTTGTATTTTGTTCATTTCCTTCAGTAAAACTATATGAATTTTGCTTAAGAACCTAATCAATAGATCCAGACTTATCATGGGTCTAGTGGCACCGGGGGATTTGAGTGGGATGGGGTTGGTGGGAAGGTTGCGGGTTCGATCCCGTGTCGTATCAAAGAAAAAAAAAACACAAGGGTACTTTTGTAATCATACTAATTTTATTCCAATTACTTTTAGTTCTTTAGTAAAGAGCGTAGTAGGAATCTAATTCCCTTTGTAACTTAAATGCCTAAAAGATAAGTAAATGCTTTAATTGCATTCCGGAACTTAACGTCGTGGACCTTAATTCCTCTTTTCTTGGAATTTATTTCCTATTCTTTCATTTCCTGATTAGCAAACGTGAAGAGGGAAATAAAACAGGAAGAAACGAAAGATGTATAACAAAGGTGAGAAAAATGGAGAGATTATAAGTGGGTTTACTAATACTTGGGGTGTTGGAAGGATTTGAAATCTCTTATTCAATCAATTCCCTTAACCAATATCCCAGAATCCTTCTACTAACCTGTTCGTTTCGTTGGTTTGAATTGAGAATTTGAGTTAAAAAGTGAATTTATATGAGAGAAAATACTATAGCAAAAAAGTTGAATTTAAATTTTTGTAGAAAAACACCATAGCAAAAAGTTTAAGTTGTGATTAGAATTGTGAAACCAACCGGGACTAAGTCCTACAACAACCTCTAAACGCCAACCTCAACCAGCTACAACTGCCCGTAAAGCCACATTTTACCATATGCAAACTTGGAACACACGTAAAGATCAACTCTTCACAATTTAAGGTTTCATAGAAGGCAAAAAAGACACCAAATTCAATCAAAAAACGGTACAACACAGAATAAAATGTCCCTTACCTTATAAGGGCACGAACCCACAATGGTTCTGTAACCAAAGCGTACTCACTACCAGAAAACGTTTCTTCTTGAGCACAATCGCCATTCCTATAGTCCTCTATCTTCCTCAAATTCATTACAATTTCCGAGTCGTCGTCGTTGTCAAACGACACGTCGTATGAAACGCCTTCAACAGAATCAGCAGGCCTTTGTACCTCCTTCCACCACCTGAAGAAAACGCAGAACAAATCTCGTCGTTATTGGCCCCAAATTCTCGTTTGCTTGACGATAAAACGAAAACCAAAACTAAAAACCTTTTACTCAAATTTCTTCGATAAAGACGACCAAAAAAAAAAAAAAAGCTTTTTCTCTTAGGTTCTTGAAATTCAAAATTACTCGTTACTTTAAAACCCTAGAAAATACGAAAGAAGCAACAAAAAACACTCTTTTCCCCAACTGTCAACTCCATTTTCCTTCCCTTTCGCTCTTCATTTTCTCATCAACCAAACAATAACGAGCGAGGAGTGACCGTACCCGTGAGGAACCAAGTAGACCTTCTCGTCGTCGGGTTTCGGGTCCGGCTCGGGCTCGCCGTTGGCGTCGTTGTCGAGGAGCCGAGGGCGCTGGGAGCGGAAGTTGGAGCGCTCGAATTCCAAGAAATCGAGGTCCTCGGAGTAGTAGGGGTCCATGGAGAAGAGAGCGAGGGCTTTGGCAGCGACGGCGCGGGCGAGGGACTTGCAGAGGTCGGCGAGGTTTAGAGAGAGAAAGCGGGCCTTGTGGAGGAGAGAGAAGCAACGGAGCTTGTCGGAGAAACGGGTCATAGGCTCATGGCCCTACTATTCCACCCGTCGCCATTGGAGTGGATAGTACTATTGTTGTTTTCGATTATTACAAACAACAAACGACTCTCGATCACTATCTCTCTCTCTGACTTCCTTTTGTCCTGTTTGTTTGCCGAGAAAGAAAAAGAAAATAAATGGTTTTTTTGGTCTTCTTTTTTTAGATTATTCCTTCCTTTTTTTTCTACTTTTTTTTCCCCCTTTTTTTTTTTGGCGAGCAGAGGTACTGGAGAGTTCTGGCTGTGCCGAAATGGCACCTCAGCGTGGCTTTTCGTGGTAATTATCCCGGTAATAGGGAATGTGGGCCCCTATTAGGATGCTGTAACGGACCTGGCCCACTATTTCTTAAGATTTTTTGCAGTACGACCCCTAATCTTATTGGTTACTAACAATTAGGCACACATTCAAACTATTTTTTACAATTAACCCTTATAATTCAAAATTTCTGGGCAAAAAAATCTATTTCCTAACACTATGAGGACATTTGTTTTCTATATTCGTCTCTGATTCTGAATCATGATTCATGATTCTCTACAGCATTTTTTCTCACAAAAAATACACGTAAAATGAGAATAATTCTGAATCATAATTCTGAATACATAAACCAAACGTCATCATGTTTGTCAGAGTGGAAAAGGGAGAGGAAAGAAATTGAAAAAAAAAAATTTAGAGAGGAAAAGGAAATCTTATGTTGTTTGGTAAAGATGAAATGAGGATGGAAGTAAGTTGTAAATTCATGGGACCCATCATTTTTTATTCCTTTGAACTTTAGGAAGAAAATAGGAGAGAAAAAATTTAATAAATAAAATAACTATTGTAACATTAAACCATTCACTTTATTTTTATTAGTATAAGGATATTGTTGTAAAATAATCTAAATTTGACATTTTTTTTTCTTTTTTTTTTTCTCTTCTACTAGACAACATAAAGGAAAACTTCATTTCTACCATTTGACTTACTTCACTTAGGTGTTTACTTATCCTTCCTTTCTATTTTCCTTTCTTTCTATTAAACATAGCATAAAACACGGTTAAGTTTTAGACGGGGATTTTAAATAGAAAAATAGTAGGAAATAGGCTAATATGAAAAGTTTAAAAAAGTATATAGGCCATTTTTTAGTTATAAAAATTAATAAGTCATAACTTGTTAAGTTATGGTTCATAACCAGATAAGTTATGGACAAACTTATCAAGTTATGGTTCATAACCTGACAAATTATGGACAAAAATAGTAATTTGGCATATTTATTAACTTATGTAAACTATTGGCCTATTAATTTTAATTCATCTCAAGTCTTGACCTATTTTCCTCTTTCTCCCTTTTAAATTTTTAAATTAGTGAAAGAAAACATATGAGAATGGATTTTGGTTAGTTTTTAACATAATGCCATTATAGAATTTATAATTCATGGTATTAAATCTCGTAAGGAAATTCCATGAAATTTTAGTGAGGTAGACAGCTAGTTGTGTCTCTATGGACGTTGAGAGAAAAAAAAAATAAGAGTAAGTGAATAAAAATAAAAAGATAAATTGAAGGAGGTAGGAGAGAGAAATATTTTAGAATTTCGAGTTTGTAAATTAACTAATTTTGTCCTTTGATGATCGTATAAAGAGCTCATGGAACATTTCGGCTTCGTTCGCTTCGTGGATTCGAGTTTTTAATTTGAATTGAGATGTGATATTTTTTTAGAGTTTTAAACTATAGTAGAAAAAGTTAGACGTGACATTTTTTTAGAGTTTTTAACTGTAAAAACTTAAAACTGAAAACTCAAATTGATAAAATGAACGAGGCCTTCATTATGAATTTATTGTTTGTTATTGATTGAAGTGTAACCACTTATGTAAATGATTAAAATTTGTTGATTTTTTTTAAAGGCAAGTGATTAAAATGCTTTATTAACTGTGAAGAAATCGAAAATTTTATTTATTTTTTAATTACTACACGTCATTAAAAGAACATTTATTTACCTAATTACTATAATACTCATTTTTATCATTTTTATCATTTTCAAGCGTAAAATGTTCTGTTTCTAACCTTTACTAATGGATTTCTTGAATCTTTTTAAGGATTACATTTTGCGATCCTGATAGTGACATTTATTTCTCAATCTCTTCCTCCATACCAATTTAAACCAAACAAGGGATTGATTTTCTTTCTTTAACCTCTTCACTCCGGCCTAACATGTTCAAATATTTACATACACCAAACGGCACATGAGAGGGGCAGAGTATGTAATGTATAAAGACGCATGTATAAAGACGCTCGTATGATGTTAGTGAAATTTTTAAATTTTCAATAACATTCTGGTGAACCTTAAGAATTAATGTGGAATACCTTCAGTATCACGACAAGATACCGTTGGTAGTAAATTAGACTACCATCTCCAGCAAGGTTAAATTAGACTACCATCTCCAGCAAGGTGTCCGCATATAGCTGGCACAATATCGTCGAGCACATATTAGAAATTTTAGGGTATGTTATTTTCACAACTCAAGTCACAATAATTTTTTTATATGAGAAAAAATACTATAGTAAATAAATTAAATTTAAATTTTTATGAGAGAAAACACTATAGCAAAAAAGTTTAAGTTGTGAAAATATTAAGTCTTAGTATTCCAAAACGCATTAGCCTGACTTTTGTTTAACGAGCTGGCAATAACAATTCAAATTTACTCTACATGGCAAATTTATAAGAGTTTAGTTGAAATACAACACGATTTTGTTGAAACATTTTAAGAATAGCAAAACTTACATTATTTAGATATTCATGTATAGACAGCAGTATCCTTTTCCTTTTTCAAGTAAGGCATATCATGTTCATTATAGATCACATCTCGACTATTAATTATTTTAAAATGGGGACTTTCTTGAACACATAGCCTATACCTTTTGACTCCCTCATGGTAGCCTAAAAATATGCATTTTATTGATCTGGGATCTAATTTTCCTTCTCTTTGGTGTACATAGGCTGCACAACCAAAGACCCTAAGGTTGTTTAGGTTTGGTGGTTTCCCAGTCCAACACTCTTCAGGTGTTTTAAGTTTAATAGGCTTACAGGGGCTCCTATTGATTAGATAGCATGCTGTGGTTACAGCTTCCCCCCAGAATTTCTTTCCTAAACCTATTCCAAAGAGCATACACCTAACACGTTCCATTAGAGTTGGATAAGATTGATTTTATAAACATAATGGGTGATTTTAGGTATTTGCGTAATAAAAATGGACAAAAGTGTTATTTTTATAAAATACAGAGGATATTTTGGATATTATGCCACATGTATGAAAAGCCTAAAACTCATTACACACAATTCTATAGAGAGCCAAGTGATCAAAGAATTGGTGGCTTTAAAGGGAACTATCACAAGTTTTAGGCTTGGATTGACATATGCTAATGGAACATAAACTCTTACAGAGAATACCATAATCACATCATCACACTATATTTGGAATACCAATTGGTAACCGATATACCCGCCAATACTTGGTCATAAAACTAGTATCCAACCGAGATACCTGACAGTATCCGGCGAACAACTGCAAGAATTGACGATAGTATTCGCTGGCAGCTACTAACTAACAGTTGATTTCGAAACAATTTTGGATGCGGAAGCGTGTAACTAGTGGATCGTGTATAACAAAAAATTTCATAAAACTTTGATATACTCTATAGATTATATTAATTTATGCACGAATAAATTAATCAAATTAATTTATTTACCTAGCGAACGATTAGGTCGATAAGTTGAATTCTTTGACCCCAAACGTTCCTTGCTCCAAGCAAGTTTAGAACACCTGAATCTTCCTTGTCAATTCCTAGAATCTACGAAGACATGTGTGTGGGCACACCTGAAACAAAATGGAATTCGCAAATAAACACTCAAGTTTTCAAGAACACCAACATATGCACGACGTGAAATTTTTTGGAGAAATTTTCTTTTTCCTCACTCTCTATAATTCAGCCACTATAGTTAGGGAGAGCAAAATGTGTGTTTTCTAATTTTCTGCAATCTCCTATTTATAGAGTAGTAGTGAGACTTCCATAAGAAGTCTAATCTTTATCTCTAAGATAAAGCTTGATAATTATCTCTCACTTTTAATTTGATTTTTGAAACAAAATTTGTCTCTCTCCTTTATGCTCTTGGCCGGCCACCATAGGGAGGAATCCGTGCGGTAGGCGCATATTGTAGGTAAAAAATATGGTAAAATTTTACATTTATCATGTAGTCCAATTTTGACTCAAATTCAAATTCCAATTTGAGTCAAACTTAAATCAATTTGAATTTCAAATTGGACAACTTATCAAATAAGTCAATTGAATAACTTAGAGCGCAAGGAACTGAATCCCAGAGGGATTCACACTGTGTTGGGCGTTCACACTATGTGAACACCTTCACATGTATGTTTCAAATTTTAAATTTAAACTTAAATAATCACAATATTTAATTAATAATCAATTCTCAATTAATTATCCTTGAGCGTTTTATTTTAGAATTCCATAATTCTAAAAGTATCATTTTGCCCCTAGTGTCTTGTAGGATTACAAGGATGACACCGAGACTTATGGATCTATAATTTCGAGCTTCAATAAAATTAATAATTAATTAAACTCTTTATTTAACTAATTAATTCTATTAATTCCAAAAGTTACTCCACTATAAACTTGAAATTGCACTCTCATAATTATAGACATAAATTACTTCTAAACTGTGAAGTGTCCATTTAATATAGTCATTACATATAGATCAATCCTCTATAAATAACTCATAATTAGAGCTAGTTGAAATCCGTTAACCTCTCTAATTACATCTTTATCATTGAGTACTATTGATTCTCTAATTGACAGTGATTCATAAAACAAACTCATGAATCAAAGCTCCCACTATTTCAAGTACAGAATCAACTTTCAAGTGAATTATTTATTTACTTATTTCTCAAGAAGGAATGAATTCCATCTTGTATAATAACATTCTCGGCTACTCACTTCATCATGTCTCTAAAGTACAAGGAATATGATTCAACAACTCGGAATCCGTACTGAGTAAATCAAAAGACATAAATCCATAAATATGAGTCTGCTAATAATTCATGATTAAGATTATTTTATATATGACTATCAGTAGAGTCAATTAGAATTTTTATACTTAACGAAAATTATCAAAAATTCATATTATATTTGTGTCCATGTTCCACATAATCTTATTATGCGTAATATACTCATTTAACATCTCTCCATCTTAATAGTGCGGATAACATTATTCCATTCTAAATGAGAATGACATGTATTAGTAATGTTTTAATTAAAGAGTCTGAACTTTAATTAAATTCATTGCGAACATGGTTTTGATTATCATCCTTAAATATTAT